TTCGTTCAAGAATCGAACGTTTTAAGATTTTGTAAGGTTCAGAAACATCACTAATAAACATACTAGGTGTTACGTACCTGTTGAATTCGCGCGGTAGTGCCTTGACTACTGCGAGGAATTGTTCACGTGTGTCGTTCACGTCGTGCTCGTGGAAGTCAGCTTCTGCGCAGCAGAACCAGGCTTTGATATTGTCGGACCAGAAAGACATGAGTTGGAACGATGGTGGGGACATGGTCTTAATCTTAAATACCTTAGGAGTCTGTTCGGTCATAGAGGAATATTAAGTCCGAGAATACAAGGGAAAAATATATAGATATCCTGAAACACGGGGAAAAAATATCACAATGTATAAAAAATGAAAAATAAGGCAATAATATATAAAAAATTCCCAAAAAGGAACAGACTCACAGTTGCAATTCGGTGTACCAGACCACGTCGGTCTCACCAATGAAGAAGACACAGGTATTCAGTGTTTGACAACGCTTTTACCAGTAACACCTTCTAGTATAACTCGTAACCATCAAGATAAATCAAAAGACAGAATCGAGGAGATCAGAAGTTGTATTTGAAGATTGTCAATATATCCGAATTCTCTGATCTAGTCTGGCTATTGATTGCGGTAGATGTTGAGCACGGCGTTACCACACGTGATCTGGTGCGGATGCATGACCGAGCGCCTTCAGCTAGATGAGTCCACTAAAACACATGGTCAGCATCCAATGTCGAAAACTTAGAGAGCTACTTATTTTGGGGATTTATTTACCGCTACAATATCTTTCTTATGTTTCATATATTCTCCCCAGCAGCTTTTTGTTTAGTTAATAATAACGAGACGGATTTCATGTAACTAAACAAGTCTTATCGAACATTATTCGTCAAACCATAATTTATTGTGTATATACAATTTTAGTGTTGAATATGAACTTTTTGATCATAGTCTACTTTATCCTTGAGATTTGCATCACACACATTGTGACTTTTTAATATGCGTATTTTGATGTTCTGAAAAGTTGTGAGTAATGAAGGCTTGTCTACAGAGCTAAGCACAGAATGATACAGAAAATATCTCAGTGTACTATTGAACTAAAGTATGTCAGTTACACCATACAACACTTAAAAGTAGGCGATACTAGGTATGACCTTGGAGTTTTCAGACTGACTTTTAACCAATGAGAACGGCCAAAATCAGGAGTTTGTCTTTTAAATAACATAAGAATCAAATGTTTATGTTTAAAAGTTTTCTAAAGGGGCGTAAACCCTTGGTTGCTTTATTTCTTGAAGTCTGGGATTTTTTCACACAATTGTGTTAACCGGTTAACCGTTTGGAATAGTCGCTGAAATGACCAACTGAGACAATTGTTTCGGTATTAATGCTCTTAAAACAAAATAGTAAATTATTGGTGCTCTTCGTCGACTCGTATGACACCATCAAGTTGTCTATTCTGAATATAAAAAACGTGATGGAATTTTACAAAATTTTGTTTCATGTAAAATTTGCAATGAAGGGAATAAGCGTTGTGTTGTTTCCCTTTTACATTATGTCCCCACCGTACAATGCCACAAAAAGCCTCCAATTTTTAATCTGAGGGGACTTAAGGTCGAACAAAGTAGTTTTCAGTGCTTAAATGATATTCACCATTATCGTCTAAAGTTTGTTTGACCCGGCAGTGTAGTAATTAGACACACTTGTCAGGCCTATTACTGAAGGGTTAAATTGACTATGATACTACTATTTAATCGAAATACCTAACGACTGAATAATGTTAAATACCGGTACTTAAGGTGGACTATGGCCATAGTCCATTTTCATAGATGCAGTAAAGTGGATGAAAATTATGCACTAAGATCTAACAAGGAAGTGTTAGTAAGATACTATGCGTAATTTATCCGTTTGAAGGCTCTCCTGCAAGCCTAAATTCTGTTCGCTTTCGTATGACTTTTGACTACGGAGTGTACACAAATAAGTATGATTTACCTTGCTAATCGAACCTTTAAGCAACATTTCGAGAAGACATTTTTATCGTTAAGTTAGTTTTATAACCTGAAAGCTATGATAACTGGGCGAGTGGGAATTTGTCACTTAGAGCATCTCATAATTACAATACAGAATCTCTGTTGCTTAGTATATTCAAGCCTTTTTGAGTGCAAAATTGACGTACAAAGTAAAGGTTAAGGGGTGTGATCCGTAAAGTACTATCACTTCAGTGGAGAATAAGACTTATTAGGTAATCTAAAATAACTCACCATACAACATTTTTGAATGGTGAGATATATTTTTCGAAATTCATTGTTAGGTTGGAGGTGGATACATTACATTATGGTTTATTTCTTAAGTAGTTGATTCTAAGTACTGCTTTGCAAAGTAACATGGTCATGTCAGCCGTTTATAAGCAATTTTGTGAAATGCCTTCAACCCTTGATGTATTTCAATTATTTTTAGCACGATGACAGAAAATTAGGATAAGCTCAATAGAGGCTAATTAAAAAATCTGAGTCTTGCTTTCAGTTAACGGTAAAAAATATATTCTTAAAGTCAGACTCTGACTTGGCTTCGGAGGTTACGCTCAACGTCCAATACTATATATGGGGTTTATACAGCATATAATTAGCTAAGCCAAATAGGGCCTCGGTTTGTGCTCTAATCAAATAAGTAGGATCAATTAAACACAAACTGTACCACTTTTGTTTTGTCAAAAATGTTCAATCTTCTTTTAAAACTATTCAAACTGCAGTAAGATTATTATTATATCTGTAGGGACCCAATACTTCCTAAATAATGAAGATTGTGATTATCAGTCTGTTAGTGATAACTAACCGTTTATCCCAATATTTTTCTTCATCTGCCATAAACATTTTACTAAGCTTTTCACGTTGAAGTACTTATTATTGCTCAGATTTCCTTTTTAGACAAACCTTAAATCTTAGCGATTTATAATCCGAATGTCTGAAATTGCAACGCATCGAACGCCAATCAGCATTTTACAAGAAGTGTGCGTAAAGAAAGGAATAACTCCGATCTACGAACTTGTGTCAAGTGAAGGACCGATCCATGAGCCACTTTATGTATTTTTGTGCACAGCCGGTCCATTCAGTGCCACTTCTAAAGGTAACTGGTTTACTTAGCCGTTCAATTTTCCAATCAGGAGCGAGTAAGAAGAGAGCCAAACATCAAGCATCATATTTAATTTTGCTAAAGATGCTGAACAGCAGGCTTTTGACAGAGTCGGAAAAATATACTCTGCGGGATATACATATTGCCGCGGTCAACGTTCTAGGATCTGACTTTATGGACTCACTTGATGATATAGAACTGGATGGCCTACCAAATAAAATAAAACAGGAAGAGGAAGGTAACTTTGTTGGACAGCTACAAGATTTGTGTCAGAAAAATACCTGGCCACCGCCATCCTATGAATTCTTAACCATACCGCAGTCTACCCCATCGGGTAATGAATACAGTTGCAAAGTCAGGTTGTGGAAATGGACTCATACAGGTAAAATTAACATTTTTGTGGGAATATTACAGGATTTGGAAATTCCAAAAAATCTGCAAAGCGACGCGCAGCCCTAGGACTTTTAGATAATATTATCAAAAATAATTTGACTATACCTCAAGAGGCTTTGGATGATATGGAAGAAGAAACCCTTTCTTTAGTAAGTTATCGATGTCCTAATTTAGCAAAAACTAGCTTGACAAACAGGACCAGTCTGATCTGAAGGAAAATAAACTAGAAAATGAGGCAACTGCTCGTATTTCTTCCAAAGCTCTTCGTGGTTTATGGAATAGAAAAGGTGGTAAAATACGTGTTCCACCCATAGATAACCCTGATAAGGTGGATAACGCATGTGAATATCTCCAGGAGATTTGTGATTGTGCAAAAATTACTGTTGTATATACATACGTTCCTGCAAACAGTCAGGGTATGCCATTCATTCGTTTACTTTTCAAAATTGTTTGTATCTAATCAAACTTCAGTCAGTTTCGTTACAGAATAGTCTTCACTGACTTGACAAATTATGTAGTGACGATCTATGAATCAAGATATGGGTCGCCGTTTTAAGCGAAGGGTGATGATGGTAGGCAGCCTTTGTAGCCCTTAAGTTCCAAACATAAGACCTAATAGAAAAGCGAGTTTCCACACCAGTTAGAGCAGCATAAAGGTTAAATGTCCTGACTTTGACTGCCAATATTGTTATCCAGTCTCCATCAATGAGTTCTTTTATATTAATGACCTGACACTACGACTATTTTAAAATGGGATATACTAGACTGTACTTTCTAAAAGGTCGGATTTTAGATGTCTTGAGCATTACTACAATTTGACTACATTAACGATATTTTTTCTAAACCAATACATTGGAATGTACACAGGTGTCAGCAAAATGGTTACAATTAATTAGTATGTTTTCTAAAAGTATATCGATTTGGAACGTTATTTGTGTAACTTTTGGAGCTACGCTATAAATATCCACTATTTTACGCTTTTTAAATTTCAAGTGGCGTTTAGCACAATGTCCGATTTATGAATGTTAAGATGTATTGATTATTCTACTTTACGAAATTCTTCAATTAATATTGAACTATTTATATACTTTTTAGGGATGATCTGCTGCTTTGCGGAACTTTCCACTCTACCACCACATGTAATCAAAAGTCAATTGTCACCAAACCTGGCAAGTGCACGTAAAGATGCTGCTCGCAGATGTATACTATTTCTAAAGGCTATGTCATCTACAACACCTTGCCTTAACTACAGTGAATGGTTTTCTGCTTCTCCTGATAATTATTTGAAATAGATTTAAGTAATTAATTCTATATATATGTACATACATTTGCCCATCTTGTTTTCGATTACGCTCGTGAGGATCAAATTCAAGATAATCTAGGGCAATGAAAAAGTATATCTCTTGTAGCAGAAACATATGATGACCTTTACAGTATAACCTCCCTAAAATGTTGTTTCACGGTGCACTCTGAAGATTCAAATGGTAAGATAAGGGATATTTATGAATATATATTTGCAAGGATAAATCTTAGCAAGCTGAAAAAAATAAATACAACATTCTACTTTACAATTTTAATGTTAGAATTCGGTCGGTGTGCCATTTTGGTTACTTTGGCCATGGCCATTTGCTGTTCATCTACTTTCCCCTTCTTCGGGGGATTAAGTTGTTTCGATCTTATCCTCATTAGTTTTCGACGATGTCGCCGGCGGTCAGCAAGAGTGCGCTCATTTTTACCAATAAGTATTTCACCTCTTGGTGGGCAAATCTCTTCTGGAGCTAGGAGATTGGCTGTTGAGACGACTGTGGGTCCAGGTTCTTCTAATTTTGATGCTGCATCATTCTTAGCAGACGTGGAAGCGGGTATGTACTAAATTCAGAATTAAGGTAGAAAGGCAAGTAATAAAATAAGCATTTCATCATATTTGTTAAAGTGGAAGAACCGCAACATAGAAAGTATGGTTAAAAAATATTACTTATCAGCTTGTTTCATAAGTTTTCAGTCTATCAATAATAAATTTCATATTACCAAATGCTCACACACATACTTGAACGTCTGTTAAAAAACGTTACTATCAAGACCATTTCCGTTAACGAAAGTTGGAAAATATAATCATATGTGATTACATTTCAAATTGGAAGGTCTGTATATGTTGAAGGTAATTAGCCATCATATATCTACCAAGCATTACTTGCGTAATGTATAACTGCTTAATAAACAAAGATGGTGCTAGGCATAAAGTGCTAAGGTAATAAGTTATTAAATTCTATTCTTTACCAGATGGTCTGAGTGAATACTCTTCTGACAACCTTTATTTGGATGGAAACAAGAGGGTACTAAGTTAACCTTTCTATGTTATGTGTGAGACACAAAGATTCTGGCCAACTAGGTCAGCAATAATTGTTTGTCCAAAAACATGAAAAAGGATAAACAATGTGGAGATCGACGCTAATGTTTATTAGTCTTAATTATCACACTACATCAGCAGAGCGAGAGCATGTGTAAATAATATCAACGGTAGTGGTAAAATACTTCATGAGGAATAAGTCAAATCAAGGAGTAAGATGTGTGAAATAACTTAGCTCAGGATTTACAAGATGTAAAATGCATGTATCTGTACCACTCCGACTATAGACTATGCCACGTGACGTCTCCAGATGAGAAGTCTGAACTTTTTGATATATATATATATATATATATAGCGATTTTCTGGGTTGGTGTCATTTCCTTGCCTGGCCGTTACTTTCCAATGATCTTATATGATACCCGGTAACCCACCACGAGATACTCAATGGCAGGTCGTCTTGTGACTAGCTTAGTCGATGAAGGTTCTCAACGGGTTTACCACTAGTACCCTACACATAGTATTGCCATTAATCACTATGCGGGAGCTGTTATGAATGCAATATTAACTGACATCTGTAGTAGATCCCCCAATCAAAATCCCACTTGTACTATCTGACCTATAGCCTAACGTCTTAAGCTCTAACCAAACATACTTCTTTTTCCATCTCATCCTAAGTCCCAATGAGAGAACACTGCAGACGAACTTCTATTACCAAACTTCAGACACCCAATCTTTTTAATTCGAACACTCGGCTTGTATACGTAAATTATCGTACCCAACACATTCTAGATAAGAGAGCATCCTTCACAAAATCAAGTCATAAATCCCCGAGAACGGAGCAAACGATAAATAACTAATTAACAACAAAAAAATGGCAAGATATATTACGTTAGTTAATTTGTTGAACGGAACGTAGAAATACAATAATCTGTTTGATAAGTGCGATAAAAACAAACAATATTAGTCCATAAGATGGTTCCGAAAGTTATAATATTCCAAGCATTCACTTCATCACAATACGTAAGATCTATATGAACAATTAGTAGCAACATACATGTCCTTAACATTTATAGACAATACTTCACACTTGTAACGCACTAGAGGCTGAAATATAGCACATCATATGTACTCTGACAAACAGAACATCTTGCCTGCACAACATATCTCAAGGCCTCTAAATTATTAAGTTAGTTTCCATATTGAGATGGACAAGATACTAAACATTTTGGAAACCGTGATAATTGAAATAATCCTTTTATCGTCAAAAAGTACACCCAGAGGTCATTTTAGGCTACCGCAAGGAGTTTTACGTGGGTCTTTAAACAAAGAGCAGAACAGTTCTGTTATTTAGCTGAGATTAAGTGAGTGATCGCACATGTCCTCTGTATCTGCGTTTCGGGCACCATACAATAATGGGATGAAGCTTTAAAATCTTGAACAATAAGACTTACTTCTACAACTGATAGAATTTAAGCATTTTGAAGTAACATCAAGTAATGTGTAGAGTAGTTCTAAGAAATCACTAGTGACGTATCGTAAGGATGAGTTGTTAGAACCAGTGAGACATAAGGAATATGAAAATATGTAAGAAAGTTTGGTGATAGAAAAATAAGGAGGCAAAGAAGAGGTCTCAGAGTCAACAAGAACTTTAGCGCTCCTGAGGATATGATGGTGGTTGGTTTTCTCAGGTTTTTAACAAGGAAAGGTATTTATCTATAGGGAACAATCAGATCAAAAGGTGGTACTGTTACACATAACTTGTCTATGTTAATAAACAACAGTGACATCGATCTTGCTTAGTCCGAGTTTACAATTTGAAATGAGAGAATAGTCAGACACACCTTATGCGGCACAAAATGCAGACTAGAAAGTCTATCTAACTTGTCGAAGAGCTCCAACATTTCAGCTTGGATTGCATTCTTTTGAGGGTCTCCTTGGTCTTCTTCAAGAATCTAGAAATAAGATGTCAAATATAGTTCCTACCTGATTTCTCTTGAGAAAACTTTCATACTCCTCTACCAGTGACTTCTGAACAACATTTTGTAGTGGGATTTCCTTAGAAGGCCCTTTAACTTCCTTAACTTTGAAAACAGGACTGTCAAACATCTGGAAAGAAAATCACTACTAGTATTTCACTAACTCTTTCTTTGATGGCTTTTATAATGTAGTCATTTATAGCAGCTTCGTCATGAACATCTGGCTCTAAAGAAATCTTAGGATGTATAGCATTAAACTTACTGAAAAGACCGTGGCGTTGTACGTCAAAGTGTTCTTCAAGCAAGGTATTCTCATTTCGTCTAGTAGCTGCAACTTCACCTTGTAAATACCACGGTTTTACATCTAACATTTTACGTTCCAATGCATCCGTCTGTTTATCAAGCTGTTTAGTGTGCATTTAACTAAAAAAAGCCACCATACCTTCTCTTGAAGAAGTTCGAAATTATGTCCGCTGTTTGCTTTTACCATCCTCATCAAATGAAAAATATCTAAGTATTTCGTTAACGACAAGGTTGAACTTCTGAAAGGTAAATGAATGCTTCATTTGGAACGTGTTGCGTCATAACGAGTTTATGAAATCGATTAAAACCTTGCATCACTTGGTTTAACAAGGAATTATTAGAGGATACATTTGGTTTACTTTGTTTTCTGGATCTTGTTCGCAATTAGAGGATGATGACTATTTGGAAATCAGGAGTGATAAACAATATTTTACCAAAGCTATACATGATTTCTCAGTAACTAACCTACATATGTCCTTAGAAATTCGTCTCCAATCAGTTAAAAGGCTTAGATTCATATGATACTGGAATATATAAGGTAGGCTACACACTCCAAACAACTATCGCAGGACTTCGAGTGATTTTGTTATATTATGAACGGGACTCTTAAAATTATAAGTTGGGCAGCTCTGGTATGAGACGTTACAAAGCGGACTCCAGGATATAAATCAGTTTCAATTCTATCAGAGTTTTGTACTATCTTCGGAGACAATCGAATTCCTTTTCTAACAGAACAAGATATTTCTTGATCATACTAGTACTTAAACTATATCGTTTAATAAGCACTACCGTTGTTTTATACGATTGTTTTATTTCCCACTAAGTACTTTGTTATATAGTCATATCGTTTCTTATTATATTTCTAGATGATGTGAGACCAGCTATTCGGTTGGAAACAAGACTTAAATATTTAAAATTCCAACTCAATTTGAAGACAGGATTTATGAGATGATGGAACACGTTTCGTAAACTAGTGTTTAACACTGGTCTCATGCAGGAAATAAAGCTATTACCAGAAAAGATGATACCGTAAAGCACCAAAGTATAGGAGGACACGGAAGTCTTTGGTATTAATCAAAATGTGGACAGTCAGATTATTTCTTCCCTGTGGGAGAAGGAATGCTATGTGACGAGTGCAAAAACTGGTTCCACAAGATGAGTACCCGTTGAAATCCTATCGCATGCAAAAGATGCTCGAAGCCCAACTCCCGTAGGTCTTGCATGTTTTGTTTTTAAAGTAAGACATTACCGATCCAACAGGCAAGTAACCTTCTGGCATTAGCCAGCAAGAAAGTTTATGAGGGCTGGACCGGTAACATGAGTACTGTCAGCGAATGTATTAGTGTAGTAAATAATGTTACGGGACGAGTCAAACACCCGACTGAGGAACATGCAAAGTGGAAATCTCTTTTGAAATAAAGAGTGAAATGCCAATGGATATTGGTGGTCAAGATTCTACAGTAGTACCTGATAACTCAGATAAAACTCTCACCGTCATAAGTAGTCCTGGCTGACAGGAAATGGGGGCTAGTACGAAAACACAGAAGAGAAAGAAACATAGTCACAAACAGCACTTGTTTGGTTGATAAGTCTTGGGTAGACTCACACTGAGTCACAAAATAATCCGTTAAAGTCCCAAAGTAAGACATTACTTAACCCTAGCGTTGTTGGAAAAAGTGTGATCTCATCGAATATTGCGAGTAATTCGCTCAAATCAAATGACTCTAACCGAAGAACAACTAAAGAAAAAATCCTAGTAGTTAACAACAGGAAATGACAACACAATCGAAAGTTGTGAACATGACTTTAAAGAAAACAAATCCGTTCCTAGTTTAATTAATTGGAATCTGGAGGAGTCAAAAAGAAATGATCGTGCTATAAGGCATGTACACGATTTGGAGTTTGCGGAATTTGTCATCAGAAATGTACTGTCTGAAGAGGTTTTGGGATTACATATTACTTGAGTAATAAGACTGGGTAAGTGGGTTGGAGGCGAGACCCAACCAAGAAGAATCCTGAAGTTATTACTCGAAAAGGGAAGTTATACTAAGTAACGCATACAAAACTCGTTATTCGAATACGACCAGATTGGCTACTTGAGGATTGAATAACGTCGAAGAATGCCCTTATTGAGTTCAGAACTTGAAAGTAAAATGGCAAAAAGAACCTTAATATCCAGAGTTTTTGGGTAGTCAGGTCTTGGAAGCCAATGCTTTCGAAACCAGTATGGGTAGAACGAGCTATTCTCAAAACACCTTAAATGTATGCTACATAAACGCTCGTAGTCTCAGAAATAAAACGCCCGAGCTAAACTCGATGAATTAGGTCCCGATATAATTGTTACCAAAGAAACGTGACTCATAGTAGATATAGACTGTTCTCCAAGCATTGCAGGATACATTTGCATTAGAAGTGATAGAGTTATAAATCGCACTAAAGACTATTATACGTTGGATCACTTTCGTGTACAATCGAGCACATCAGAAGCACATGATAATGGTGTATGTGAGGTAGCTTGTTATACAATTGAATCTAGACACGGGTTAATGACTATAAGAGGAATATACTGTAGTACACATTGTCTTGCTGACGAATTTGTCTTAAGTCATATCTGTTCTTGGGGTAAGGCCGACTGCTATCTCAGCGTTGAAGATTTCAACGCGCTGCATATCAAGTAGATAGAACTTACAGCTTCAGATGGATTTTCTGATAGCAGCATGCTGTCAACCATTATTCGGTGTGCATTTATACAATGTATTGCAAAACCGACATATTGACATGGAACACGAACCGTCACTACCGGACCTTGTATTTACACACCACTGTGATGACGTCACCGACATTCATTATGGTAGGTAAGCCTAACTGCCAAATAAAAGTGGCACTAACGGACATTATTCTCGAAGACAGAAAATAGTGCCACATTATTTCTCCTTAGGTTAGAAATGTCTGGCTTCTATAGGCAGTTATGAAATCCTGAGAAAAAACTTAAGTGATTAATTAACAACGACTAATCTTACCCAAAATAGTACTCAGATCATTATAGCAAAGTTAGATATTTGGAAGGAGACATATCACAAATTTACTAGTTATTCACGCGGTTATACATGTTATGCAAGAAATGGAAGCTTTTCTTTGATTTCCCTAAGTTTAGGTGTCTTTGTAGAGATATCTTAGTATAGGCCTAGGCAAATAACCTGAAGTACAAACGGAAGACATTTTGTGGAAACAAAAACACTTCTCTAAGGTAACTAGGAAATCCTGGAAAAAGTAAAGAGGACAGGTACCTATGAAATTCCAGAATTTCCAGGTTTATTTTAAACAGGACGGCTTGATAATTGGGACCTCTTTATTTCGTTTTACAGTAATGTTTTCAATATATGAAATACTCAGAAATGCTTTTGGACCTAATATGCTTACTTTATCCTTCCAGATCACAACAATTTGAGAAACATACTAGGCGAGTTAAAAAGTAAAGCACTAACAGAATATCAATGACATACAGGTTCCCACATTAAGTCATCAACTTTTGGAACATTTATTTAACTTACTCAAGCGAAGACTAAACAGTGACAGAAGTTTATCAGAAAAGAGCAAACACAGGCCGTCAGTCTTCTATCCTCAATACAGAGATAGTTGTCATATCGTTATGTCAAACTAACGGTTCAGGCTCACCTACGAACCAGTAATATGCAATATCACCTACATATACATATAGAATGTGAATATTTTAGTTCAGAAGGGACTTTAGCACAAAGACATTACTGAACTAACTCATATGTGACGAATCCAAAGACTAATATTATAAGCAAGAACCTTGGATACATGACAAAAAAGGCATTTTAAGCTTCTACATTATAAACTAGTTGGCCTTCAGTGAAATCAGTACAAATTAAAAGAAGGAAACCAATGTGATTCTAACGATCTAGTCGCTAACGTCACACACAGCTACGTTATTAATCAATTTTATCAAAGAATTATGATATATGTTAACATTTTTGTTAGGAAAATTCAAAGGTTGATAAGTGCATTTAATCTTGGTTAGCTTTTAAGACCTTAATGTTGTTTCACAGAAACCTGACTCGACTGTGTAGTAGTTAAGTCAGTGCAGGAAAACATGTAATCCCGGTAGCGTATTATTGATACTTTGCGCCTTCCAGCTGTACACGAAAGGCAATTAAAATGGTTCAATCAGTTGTGGACGTAATAGAAGAAGCATTCATTTAACGGGCCCTCGTATCTAGTAGAGGTGGATCACCAATATCTCCAGGCAGGAACCTTGGTATATTAACGACAATAGAAAAAGAAATTGGTGAATCATAGTAAGATATTATCCTTAGTCCTTAAGAATATGTCAAGTTGCCTTTTGAAGGACTCCTAGGACGTCTCTTGGACTAGAGGAGCCAGCAGAGAATTCCACCAGTTGAATCCCCTTATGGAGTGGAATTTGTGTCTACAGTCCGTTCTACTGTGTTGTGTCTCTAGTTTCTGGGTGTTACTCCTGTAGGGCCTGTGAAATGTCACTGAACCCTAGCCAAATCATCCGGCAGTTGGATCACTGAATGTTGAACAGATCATCGCTCCCTTCCAAGGTCAGGTACAAGCAACGCGCATTAGTTAATCATACGCCATGGACTGGCCCATGCGGCAGTGGTCTTACTTTCGCCTGTATCTACCTTAACTAATATATTTCTGTAATAACGTCCTTTGTGTTGTACAGTCTTTAAAACACCTATAGTACCTTGTTACGTCAATGGGGGTAGTCCACGTAAGGTGCTGACCACGAGGTGTGACTTCGACGTTAGTTGGTTCGTCACACTATTCACGTCTAACTCGAGTAGGCCTCCAATCATTTCGACATAGATCATCTACGTTGGTGATCCACACTCCTAAGTTTCGTATTTGAGCTAAACCTAAGTAAGTGTTTGAAGGGATGTCCAGACGTGTTAAGGACATTGTAAGCCATAAGTAGGTCTTCTCTAAGACGCTTACACTCTAATGAGTAAAGTTTTAGTGAATGGATGTGCTCTTCATAAGGCATGAATTTGAGTCCCCGAACTGATCTCATGGCTCGCCGTTGGATACGTTACAGTGTCTTTATCCCCTTAGAGAGAGGGAGGAAATACTGTGTTTCCGCATTCTAAGTAAGTACAAATGAAACTGTTGAGGATTACGTGAAAAGTTCTACCGTCAAACTGGCCAAAAATGCGCTTCAATGTTACCAGTGCAAGGTTCGTTTGAAAGACATTTATCGTATCGTAGGACACGAGGTGACCTTATACTGGAATTTCGTATCTTTAATTATGATTTGGGTGTTAATATGTCTTATCTTTCTGCTCCCTCCAGCACTAATAATCTCCGCGGTCATAGCAAGAAGGTTCATAAACCAAGATCTAATAAACTTAAAGTGGGGTCCCGTTTTTCTCATCGAGTAGTCAATCATTGGAACGCCTTAATACAGGTTCATCAACCTACTATCTTTATTACTGAAGACTAATAATTTTGTCACATTTGGAGTAAGACTTCAAATTGTAAGGTACCAGCACTCCTAAAACATTTTTACCTTGCGATGCTTCTAGAGAGGAGTTTTTTAAGTTGTAACTGTAGTCCGCAACATGTCTCAGACTGATTACTTTACACTTTGAAGTGTTAAAGGTGAGTCCGTCATCGTCTGCCTAGCTTTGAAGTTGGGTCCGATCCTCCTGAAGTGCCAGTTTATCCTCTCGGTTGCGTATCTCTCTCTCCAAAGTTTCACATCACCAGCAAAAAGTAATTAGTCAGATGACACCTGTTGTGGGAGACCTTTTATATAGATCAAGAGAAGAAGAGGTCGTAGTACTGAACCCTGGAGGACCACACTAGCGAAATTAACCCTGACCCCGTAATGTCAACATTTTAGATGTAAACTGAGCCAGTCAATCAGAGGTGATCTGATACCCAATCGTTTGAGCTTATTGATAAGACATATATGATTGACCTTATCAAAAGCTTTTGAGAAATCAATGCAAATGACGTCAACCATACCCTTGCGATCAAAGATGTTTGTCCATATGTCCACCGCAGTCAGCAGGTTGGTTATTATTCGAGTGACCCCTCCTGAGACCATGCTGTTGGGGGTGAAAATAAGCTCAGCAATAATAAACAATCGCGTATACCGTCGCATATCAGGGACTCCATAATTTTGAAGGTATAGAGAAAAGGGCCACAAGTCGGTAGCTTTAATGTTCGCCACATCGATCTCCTTTGAAAATTGGTGTGATGTGAGCCAACTTACAAATTTCCGGTAGTTTGTATCGGATTAGCGCGTGTGAGAACATCACGCTAAGCGGTGTTGCCATGATCGAAGCTGAAGAATGATCCACATCCGGGTTAGTAGTGTTTTTTCTTAGGTGCTGCAGTTTCCGGAACACCAAGTCAGCGCTCAAGTTCACTTCGAAAATTCCTGTCCAGTTGCAGATGAGGCGTTCATCAATATAGTTAGTGTGGGTCAGCCGAGATGCCCGAAAGTACTGTTCAGCCGAAAATTTACTGGCGTCACCGTCGCTATTGGTCGAACCATTAGGACCTATCAGTTCGGAAACTCCAGTTTTTGCTTGCCGAAAAGAGGCTGCATAAATGAATAGGCTGTTCGGATTGGAGACAAACTGATCGATAAGCTTTATCTAATACTGAAGCTTGTCTTTTCTAATGCCTTTGTGCATATGTTCCTTATATGTTTGTATTGCATGTACGCGCCCTTGTTATCATTTCGGTTGTATTCTTCCCAACAGTAACTTCTGAGGCTTACCAAACGAAGAGTGCGGTTCTTTATGTTTGTAGGTTGCCTTTACATTTTGTGGAGCATGTTTTTAAGCTTCAAGTATTGCTTTATGAATTTCCATTACCTAATATCAAAGTTTGTGTGACCAGGGTCCGTGTACACCTTGCACAATGATATTTCTTCCGCGGAGAAACTTCTCGCGAGATTCCTTAGGGATGTTTTGGATGAGATCGGGCTAAGAATATGATATGTTAGGCTGTATTATTATGTTCCTATCAGATTTCAGAAATTGACTAACTAGTAGGATATCCTCTACGTTGGTAGCATTAGTGAATGTTACACAAAGTAGCCTGAGGTGATTTAGATGCCTAGCGTTCTTTCCCCGAGTGAACCGTGTGACCGTCAAAGGCTTCACTTTGAGAAGTTCAAGTTTTTGTTTAACTCTGCCCAGAGCATTCTGTTATATTTGTCCTGCAAACTGAGGGGAGGGTCAGTATTGCCTTTAAGGTTCATGATTATGAGAGAATCGTGACGAATCGTTTTTGTATTCCCAAGTGTTCCGGTGCGCTTAGGTTAAGGACCATGATGTTTGGAGGTCGTAGTGAGTTTTCGATTCCTAGGCTCTTTGACGACCGAACAGACATTCTTGGGAGTAGACTGTGTGACAAAATCACCAGTTGATTTCCCTACAATTCTTGAGACATTCAACTTCTTAGACAGCGACGACTGGTCCTTTTCAACTTTTGTAACGGGGTCCAATCATATTCAGAGATTTTGGGAACCACCGTTGCATCTAGGGACCCTGTGCTGGGAGACCCAAGTCTCCTTAGGAAGCCTATTACCGTCGACGTTTTGATGGTGCTGAGTTTCACCATGTCATCATTAGTGTTATGGATGCTAGCAAAAGCCTAAGCCCGCAAAGAAACAGCACACTAAAAACGGGTTACGATAAACCGAATTTAGCGTTCACGTGAAAAAACAAAAAAAAACCGAATAGTAAGCTGAGGCAAAACCAAAGTTAACTATTAGGTTGTATAAAACTCAGAAAAGTAATCTGTCAAACGTCTTACTCAGAACAGATTCCTTAGATCAGAACTTGTACTCTTTTGTGTAAGAACACAGCAAAAGTTTGAGAAATGTAAATCACGTTAGGTCTAAACTTCCTGTTCGAACCAACCAATGAACCTTAACCCATTAGAGTACAGGCGTCTTAGAGGTGACCTTCTAATAGCTTACGGCAACCTGAATACTTATGATTACCCCTTTAAACACCTACTTGAGCTTAGTTCCAACACAAACCTTAGGGGCAACACCCAGAAACTGGAGACTCAACACAGGAGAACGGACTGTAGACACAAATTCCACTCCATAAGGGGATTCAACTGGTGGAATTCTCTGCTGGCTCCTCTAGTCCAAGAGACGTCCTAGGAGTCCTTCAAAAGGCAACTTGACATATTCTTAAGGACTAAGGATAATATCTTACTATGATTCACCAATTTCTTTTTCTATTGTCGTTAATATACCAAGGTTCCTGCCTGGAGATATTGGTGATCCACCTCTACTAGATACGAGAGCCCGTCAAATTCTTCTGTTGCGTTAAAAACCGTTTGAATTTATGGTTACACGACGCTCAAAAGCTATTCAATATATCATGAGTGATCGATTAATATAGAAACAATTCAGCTTGAACAGTTCGTTCAAAGCTGTGTGACAGTTCACTGGCTGTACCCAACTGCAGTTCTATATTGTCAAATACCTGGAACTGTACCGAAACAACGAGAAGCTATGGCAAAGAAATCAGTTGGTCATACAAACTTCTGATAAAGATATTGGGGATTGAGTGGAAAGCGGGTGTTTTGTGGCTTGCGTTGTATGTAAGCATTGTTTGTTCAGTTTGTCAGAGTAAAGAGAATTTTAATGAGCGACGACCTGTGATGTGAATGTGATTAAGGGACAGAACAGAGTTGTTTTTAGTTGTGATCGTATTTCAACTACTATATTTTCTACTTGGTGTTTTGATCTAATTCTTGGGACCTGTTACCCGAAGCAGTGGTGTCCGCACCATCAATCGACTCATTCAAGAAGAGACCAGACACTAAGAAAAGCACACTAAAAAAGGAATAACTTATGTTGTAATCCTTTTCTTCCTGACGCGTTAGTCTAAATGTGATTTGTATCATCACAATCCCCTGATTTTGAGGAGGACGCATTAGAGATTTTTAGGAAAATGTGACAACTCTAAAATTTGTATACACACCTGGGAAAGACAAGAATTTTCGTGTCATGATTTCAGTTTCAGTTTGGGAAGGACAGGAGGCCTGATGGCCTGTGTTAGTCCTGGCAATGGTGGTCTCTCAGTTGATCCAACTTTCTTTTGAAAGTATCGACGGATGGAGCCTCAACCACGTGTTGAGGTAATGAGTTCCACTCGTTGATGATTCGATGGGAAAGTCGATAGTCAGCTGACAAGTAATTTGTTCTTGGCTTATGAACTTTTTTGGAGTGTCCTCGTAAATTCTCTGTTTTGGAAGACAAGAAAAATGAGGGCATATCAGGTGCAAATTCGGCACTAAGCAATTTGAAAACTGTAATCAAGTCGCCACTAGTTCTGCGATATGACAACGGGAAAAGGTTCAGCTTGGCCAGTCGAGCTTCATACGGAAGCTTCGCTATTCCGGGAATCAGCTTAGTTGCCGTTCTCTGAACCTTTTCCAGAAGCTCACTGTCTTTTTTTAAGCAGGGGCCGGCCGCTTGTATGCAGTACTCAAGTTTAGGACGTACGAACACGGTATATAAAGTCAAAAACGTCTTGGCGTCGACATGACTAAAAGCCCTACGTATTGACCATAACGTTCTAAAACTTTTGGCGGCTATTGCACGGCAGTGTGCAGTAGTCTTTAAGTCTTGACTAACGATAACTCCTAAGTCATTATATGTCTGGACGACAGGTAGCTCAGTGTTATTCATCGTGTATGTATCTGTGCCTTGATGACCGATATGCATCACAACACACTTGGAAGTATTTATCGGCAACTGCCAGGTTTGAGACCATTCAGATAACTTCTTCAGGTCATTTTGAAGTTCTAAGCTATCACTCTTACATCGTATCGTTCTCCATATCTTGACATCGTCAGCATATAGCAAGACCGATGATGATAGGAGACGAGGAAGGTCATTCACATACAAGAGGAATAGCACTGGCCCCAAAACTGTACCCTGTGGCACCCCACTAAGCACAGTTTCCCAGCTAGATAACTTTGAGTTCACCCGAACTCTTTGTTGACGCCCAACTAAGAAGTCTTTTATCCACATCAATAAATTGCCTCCAATCCCGACATTTCTTAACTTATATAACAGCCGGTTGTGCGGAACCTTGTCAAAAGCTTTGCTGAAATCAATGAAGGCTACGTCTACAGGTGACTTTTGGTCCTTAAGAGCGCACCAGCTTTCACGAGCCACTAATAAGTTAGTGAGACAAGAGTAACCTATTCTGAAACCGTGCTGCTTCTCCGAAGGGATCTGGTTTTTATCGACATACTTAAACAGCTCCTTCCGAATAATCTTTTCTAAGATTTTAACAACCACACTAGTTAGGCTAACGGGGCGGTAATTCTCAGGTTTGTGTTTCGTACCTGTTTTGAAGACAGGACTTACTATGGCGTTTTTCCAGTCTTTGGGTAAACGACCCTGCGTTACGGATAGGTTAAAGCATATACTTAAAGGGTTCGCAACGAAGTTAGATAATTCCTTCAGTAGCCTAGGATGTAATTCATCGGGCCCCGTGGATTTACCTATGTCAAACTTATCTAGTAGACCAAAGACATCGAGTTCTTTAATGGTCACGCTATCCAGTGTATGTATGGGGGGATCTGTATACGCTGACGGGAAGGGCGCTTCTATGGTATATACGTTGCGGCAGTACTGTCTCCCTATAGAGCAGGAATATTTCCTCTTCTCTTTGTCCTTTGGTTTATATAAGAATACAAACGTTTAGGACATTCTATGGATTTCTTAACAATATTTTCTTCGTACAACTTTCTAGACTTACGGAGGGTCGAGGCACAGGTATTCTGGACTTTTCTATACTGGGATTTAGTTTCATCAGTTCCCAGTAACCTAAATCTATCCCACATTTTTCTTCTCTTACGGAGAAGGATGCGAACCTCCCTACTGAACCATGGTAGGGAGTTTCTCGGGATGTGGTAACTTTTAAGTATGAATTTCGAAATGCGTCCCAGGCCGTTTCAACTAAGGACTCTGGGTCTATTGTCCAATCTACTAACGATGCTGAGTGCATGATACCTGGTATATTTGCTTTCCAGACGTTAGGTCTAGATTGGGCTGACGCGTGCTCGTGACTGACAGTTATATGGAAGTCGAAAATTAAAACTGCGTGATCACTTTTACCTAGGGGTGGCATATAATGAAGGTTAGCAACGTCATCCACATAGTGAGTGAGTATCAGATCTAGTAAGGATGATTTAGTGTCCGGGTCGTACCCAGTCGCTTCTTTCACATGTTGCACTAAAGCACATGTGATAACCGCATCAACTAGTTCCTGCTCGAAGGAATTTTCTGACGATTCAGTTCGCAGATTTCCCCAGTCTACCATAAGTGCATTAAAGTCCCCTAGGATTAGACATCGACCACTTTGGGACCAAGTATTGAGACTGCTTAACAGGATCTTATTTGCCTCACAGCTTGGACTGCGATAGACCAAACCAATCAGCAGCTCTTGTCCCTTGCATTTTCAAGCGAAGACTAACTAATTCGCACGTCCCACTCTCATGTGATACACTATCGATAATGGCAAGTGGGATAGCATTCCTAATGAATAGAGCTACTCCCCCTCCTTTACGCTTTTGTATTCTGTCGGCCCTTACTAACGTAAAACCCTCGAAAACAAGTTCCATACTATCTATAGCCTGTGTCAGCCAGGTTTCTGTAACTGCGATTATGTCTGGCTTTGTAGAGTCAATCTGTACACGTAGTTCCGATCGCTTATTAAGTAAGCTCCGGGCATTTGTGTAGCAGATCCGAAGCCTATTTAAGTGGCTTCGTGCTTCACCCAGAGTGGCTTCGGCATCATTCTCTGTCGAAGCCTCACAACCCGAAAAATTTACAATTTTTAGATTCTTTTCGCCAGCGTCTAACCTAAGTTGTAGTTCTTTTTCGGCTTCCCGTCTTTTTACACGGTCTGCCAACGGTAAGTCCTTTCGTATAAAGACTCCTGAACCCTTTAATTTGTGTCTATTCTGTAAAATTAGGTCACGTTCGTTTAAAGAGTTGACTACTACTTTAAACAGTCTGGAATGATTTGGTTTCAAGTCCTCTGGACTCCCTAGTCTGTATACCTTTAGCAAGATGACCCCGGTGATATTTTGAGGCATGAGTTGGTTGAGCAGCTGCTTAATCAGCACAATGTCATGCTCAAAACGAGCTTTAGGTTCAGAGCTCTCGCTCTCCTTGATTCTATGAAAAATAGCTGATCTGTCGCTATGATCAGCCTTCGATTTTACGACTACGTTCGCGGGGGTAGGATTACCTTTTATATCGCTACTTTTTTTCTTCCTTACAACGTGTACCCACTCATCAACGGTGCTGGTAGAAGCAACAACAGTTGCATCAAACCTAGTGTTGGATTCTGGGGGGTTGTCGACGACCTGAGAGGTCAGGTTGTGTTTACCGCTTGAAACTGACCGAGCCTTGCGATCGCGGCTTCTAGGCGTCTCCGGTGGGATCTCATCTGGGAGACGGGGAACAGAACCTACTTTCCTTGATCTTTTGTTTAAGGCAGGCCCCTTTGGAGACTGCTTTTCCTTCTTTGACCGGCGTGAGTCATCTACTATCGAACTAACCTTAGTTTGCCTCATGTCGATTTGTGTGTCGACAGATCGAGTGCTGTTTGACGTGTTCCGACTACGCTTGCTAAAACACTTCTTTGCAGCATCAACCAGTGAGATGGCCTCGGTTAACAGGCTGTTTGCATCCTAACAGCACTGTTGACAAAGCCATACGCAACCTTTCTTACTGAACCGTCTGGAAGCCGCAGGCGTTAAGTTCGTGCAAACTTCGTGGTACCAGCTTTTGCACTCGTCGCACTGCATTCCGCTTTCAACGAGATAAAGACAACCCAGACGTTGACAACTGCTTTTTTTTACACTGTCGGTCATTTTAGAAAAGTCCTTTTCAAAAAAGAACGAGATGCGATGATACTCAGAAACAAAAAAATAATCAATGACCAAAAAGTGAAGAACTGTAGATTGTTAGGACCAAAAGTACTAACAGATACAATTGAAAATGAGGTACTTAAGAGTACCAAAGACAAAACTAATTGAGAGAACGGTAAAAACGGTACTCTAGTCGAATACTTTAACTGAAATGAATTCAATTAAAGTGAAAACAGTAGTCTTGATACGTAATAAACGATCAAAACAATGAAATTTACTCAACGAGGAAAATGCTTTTTTTGGGGAAAATCTCAAAATAGCCCTAAAATTGGGTATATATCTCTCAATTGATATGTCTCTCACATAGGGTCTTTTTTATATAATCGTAAATCTATTTTAAGCTGTTTTTTGTGTGAATTGGGATTTTTTCCGTAACAGTCATTGCCTCCATTTCTAACTTCATCGTATTCCATACATATATATGTATGGAATACGCATGTGTGGATACACATATGTGTATCTATCCAAGGGCAACCAATGTCAATAATTTAGTGGACATACGTCGTACTGTTCCCTTTTTCGTTAACTTGCAGAAGTGTAAACTCAACCTGTAGTTGCCAAGATGACGCATGGATGTTACTATGCACGTATTAGAATAAGCTCTTCTGGTTATTAGTATACAAAGATAGGTTTCAGATGTCAATGCTAACGCTCACGCTACCCAAATTTACAAATTCAGTTGTGATTGACGATTCATCACTGGGAAATAATGCTAATGAAACAGTAATTTAATTAACGTTAACTACGTGACATTTTGGTCAATTAAGACTTGTCGTTAAGGCACTTGAACCCTAGGTAGGTTTTGTTTGTTTTCTAAAAATAGTACTCTTAGTAAGTCAAAAGAAATCAACAGATCTCGAAAGCCATTTGAAATGCAATATGTCCTAATTAGATACTTTAAAAGTAGCGTGCGACTTGCCTTACCATTAAATTACTTATTCAAAGGCATTTTCCTATTCCACAATTTCCTTGTCTTTATTCTGGCGGATTCAAATTGTGACTAATCTTTGAACTTAGAAGTGACGTTCGCAATGCCTAGGTCTTAGTTATTGGTAAATTATTCTGTTCTTAGGTCTGTAGAGGAGTCCCTGATAGCACAGACTGGTTTTCAAATTTACTGCTTGTCATGTAGTGATGGGGCCTTATAACAAACGATTCATTTCGCCAGTTTCAACTTATCTCCCTTTAGTCGTGGTAATATGGTGCAGTTCCATAATATGTCAACCGCCTGATTGTTTAGACATGTTGAATCTCGTATAAGGTCTGGAATTGTGATGTTTATTCTCAGTAGTTAGTCTTTGTCATATTTGAGTCAAAATGATCCAGTCAGTCAACATTGTTAACGAAGAGTGCGTTTGTAATAGAAATAATGACATTTGTAAAATTTCAATCAGTAAAACATTGTATTTGTGACGTCCTCCAACCTAGTTGGTTCTTCAGAAAATAAATCAAGTTAAACTGACTCAAGTCCAAATAGAACAAAGTAAACAAGGCAGAGTATTTGTATTACAATCAAAGTTAAGACTTATCCAAGCATGTTACGGTTATGTAGTTTCAGGCACGGTAATTCTTCGTGAGAATTACTTGTATGTACATTAATTAGCGGGGAAAATGTGAAACTTGTTATGTGGAAGTATGCTCACTTTTTAACTGCTCGTTTTCAGCAATTTCTTCATGAAAAGTAAGCTCAATAATTTATTTTTGTGAATAAGTCATTACAAGCTACTCTATAATTCTAGGGATTTATCATATCTGGAGTTGTAACGTGTATAGTTTACAGTTGACATTAACTATACATGCCCATTCAATTTTTATCTCTACATTGCAAGAACTATTTGTCTAACAGTTATTCAAACTCTTAAATCTTAGTGCCATAGTATTTATCTTGGTCAAAAATAAACGTCAAGCTGTGAAGACATTAAATGTTGAGTTGAGCCGCTTAAGGCTATTAAGATATCTATGCGAATCAGCTACTGTTATTGCTTAATATTCTCCGGACACTACTTCGCTAGACAAGTTTTCAAATCAGAACACGGTTGAATAGGAACGAGATTATATTCCACATAACGAAGTTAAGTATAAGTGACAGTCATACTGTGAAAACGTTTAGTAAATTTATAATTTATATAATTTATATACCTTTTAACTCTGGTCGGCTAAAAACAGGTCAATCAGCGTGTCGTAACATCGTTCTGCTTGGAACATGCATTAATCCAAACTATGGTCTGCGGACGGGGAATGTATAAATTCCTTAGTTATTTTTGGAAGCATAAATATTATCAGTAGTGAAAAATGTAAATTAGTGCAGGTGGCTAAGATATACGGGTTATCCTTTCGTTAATTTTGAATTTTATGGTTATCCATGCTTTCCTCTTATTTCTTCTGAACTACTATTCTTATTTTTAGTTTTGATTTGCCGTTAGTATCATTTTTATTGTTTGCACCTTTTTTGCAATCTGTTAGTTTCTTCTCACTCCATTGATATGTGATAACTTTAATTGATAAACATTTGCATCAGTTCATGCATTTATGCCTGCTCATCTGTTCGTTGATCTTCACCGATTGCGTAACAATTTGAATAGTCTCACATTTGTGTTTCAAGACGGAGTTACTTCTCAGCAATATTCGTTATTCAGAATTAAAATTAATATTTGTACTATTTTCGCCGTTTGCTTTTTCACTAACCGCCTTCATCTTTTATGTTTTTCAGGACGTCATATTAGTCACCGGTAGTTCTTTATCTATCACCAATGTATTGTTTATTTTTTCTTGTTCCAGATTCCTTGATATTCAAACTTATCATATTAAAGTGTTGTTCAAGATTCCCTGAGACAAGAATATTCCAACTATCCTATTTAGTTAATTTATTCGATTGTAATTAAGTAGAACTATGGGTTGTGTTTAAAGTTTGTTGATTGTAATTGCCATTTACAATAAATTAATTTCTTTGTATGAATTATCCAATTAAGATTATTCTTATATAAAACTATCATCCTTTTGTTTGTAAGACATGAGACTTCCGTTTGCTTAAAAAGTACCTTAGTTACTGTCGATTAGCTGAACTTAGTCCTCACTTCCGCCTATGTCAACTGTCAGCAGAAGTTAAACGAACTATGTTTGTGTCACGGTTAGCACTTGTATCAAAGGGAGTGCCCAAAATTATTCGTCTATGTGGCAAGAAATTTGCGTACAAAATAAATACAAAAGAACAACAGTGTTATAAAACATTACTTTCCGAAACCTGGGAATCGGTTTCTCATCAGCATTTTCCAAATGCAGAATCCTCAACAGTTTTAGAAGACAGAAATGTAGATGATCTTCCTGTTCAGAGTTCCAGGAGTACAACTACGGACTTTACAAGGACCCTTGCCCCAGAGGATTTGAACAAAATTTATTCTGACGAAGATCCATCTTTGCCACCTTTGTCTATTACATGCTCAGGATGTGGATCACCGTTACATAGTAAAGCTGCAGGATATCCAGGTTTCATACCCTCGACCGAATATAAAAGCATTATGTCCAGTAAGGGGCGATCACTTTCTCGTTCTAAATACAGAAAACCTGTGCTCACTCTTTGTGTACGTTGTAATTTACTTCAAAAACACACTGAAGCGTCGAAAGTATATACTTTTGCATATTAATCCTAAATAGAATTTAGGAAACAATAAATGAGTCGTCTTTTCTGACTAAAGTAACCCAAGAAATACAAAAATACGAAGATGCGGTTTTAATCGTTATTGCCGATGTGGTTAATCTTCCACATTCTTTGATTCCGGAATTACATACAGAATTAAAGGGCAAAAGGTTAGTTCTAGCTAATTATTGTTTTCAATCCTAGGTATGTGCTTGTTGGTAACAAGGCTGACCAGTTACCAGGTGATGGACCGCATTTCATAGAGAGGTGGTGTTCAGCGTTGTTGGAAGCAGCGATTTCGAGGAGCAAAATACCAGAAGAGAATATTAATCACATCTCCATCATTAGTTCATTGACTGGTTATGGTATACCAGAACTAATCGACTTCCTGTTATCTAAACGTTTTCATTGTAAAAGTGAGCAGTATTTACGACTTACTTTTATTATTAATATTAGTGATATTTGTTGATAGGTCTTTGATAATTGTGCTTATCCACTGCATTCAGAGCAAACAATAAACCGATCTCCACCAAATATTTAAACAGTATCTGAGTAATCCTTAGATACACTAGTCCTTTACATTGAATACAGTTTTTGTCATAACTTCTATGACAGTATACCCTGGAAACAATACTTCATTCAACTAGTCCCAAACCAGTATACGGATTAGAGTCGAGCGAAAATACACACCAAACGGCGAAAGATAATCTGGTAAAACGTGGAGATTTATATAAAATTTATGCGGAAGTTCTCTAGTATCTTCTCAATCTATCCGCTAGCGCTTATTTGTTGAAGATGAACCAATCTACGCGCTTTAACCTGATATTCACTAAAGCGTAGGTATTTTCTAGTGAATCTATCAGATGATATTTTTGATCGTTAAAATCAGTGAATATAATGCTAATCGACAAATAAACGGATTGGTATATTGTGATCGAGTGATGGCTACTCACGAGACCATATAATTGACTTAAACCCTTGAAAAATTAGGAATCAAAGACAAGGTCATTAGCCGGATAAGTAGCTTTTCATGCGACGAAATAAATCTGGCTATATACGGAATATGAACACAAAATAAACCTGATAAAATGTGATAGGTGTTCGAATGAAATAAGTTTATGGGCCAGGTATTCTTTAATCAATTAAAACCTGACTGTTAAGTCTTATCTTAATGCATTGTATCAAGCAGTCAAAACCTTATCCTGCTAACATTAGGTTTACCTCTGGACACCATCTGAAATGACGTTGTATCGTACTATTGTTAGTAATAAAGTTTTTTAACATTTTTGTTATTCATGTAAATTTTATCTCACCATGCTGATATGGTAGAACAACTTGGGTTAGGGCACATTTGTTCAGTCACATTATTAACTATAACAGACTGATATAATTAAATTTATATATAGTCATCCAACAGTGATATATATATATATATATATATATATATATCGTGTCAATCTATGATGTCAATTTGTCCTCATAATCCTATTTCCACCTTTTTTGCAAATTTACCAATTAATTAGTTCAGATAAAGCATATTTTTTATTCTTTTCTTCATAAGGTCCAATATATTTGATAGGTTCTACAAATGTCGGAAAGTCTAGTTTATTCAATCGTTTATTATTGTCAGATTTATGTAAATCAGAAGCCAAAGAATCTATTCATCGAGCTACAATATCTTCGTGGCCAGGTAATTAATTTTTTACCCTATGTTCATATAAAATATATTTCATATTTCTAATTATGTAACAATAATTTTTCAATGGATTTCTTGCCTTATATATGTCAAAAAAGTATATTAATTTACTGATGTGCGATTAGTTTTCGGTTTGAATTTTATCAAAGTGGATTGCCTTTATCACAGTTAGATATTAATCGTTAAAATAATACATATTGCAGAGTAACTTACTAGCTGTTTTGTACTATTCTAGAATTCAGCAGTAGTGAATATCTCTTTTTGCCGAGATTAAACTTGATTTTTCTTAAAACTTTGTGATGAGATTTCAGTTTGTTGCATCCGATTCTAATGCTTTATAAAAAGTAACTAGCTTAGATCGATTCATGTGTTTAACTATTAAAATTACTACAATCTCCACAAATCCTCATTCTGATAATAATAACAATCATGTTCTCACTAGTGACTGGCTTCAAAATGTAACCCCTGGAATTCTAGTAAGAATTCGTGACCAGTGAAGTTCAATCCGTGTCGGTTGTGAAACATTTGTCCACCTCAGGCAGTGAACGGAGAGCTGCGCAATATCATGGATTGATAGGAATTAGATATAACACCGTTAGATCCCAGTCCAATGAGTTGGAGATTAAGCGTCTGTGCGCGAAATCGAAGGTCCTGGGTTCGATTCCCGATTATGGTATCGTAGATGTGCATAGCTGAGTCCCATTTTAGGAATAAACAGTCACCTAGTGTTTCCAGATTTTAAATAGTGGTCTAGCTTAGATTAAATCATGATTTCAACTATGAAAATAAGAAAATTGTTCAATTCTGAAGTGCTTAAATGATTATTATTTAAAAAAATAAAAAAATACACGAGGAAAATATGTAATTAAGAAGTAAATAGGAGCAAAAGAGTGAACAAGCGTACAAGGGAGGAGAACAAATAAGAAGAATACATTAAAATGAAGATTATGATGAAGAGGTTGAATAAATAGCTTTTGCTAATTTATTTTTGGTAGAAACTTGAGAAAACTCGTTAATCATTGAGCATTATAAACAAAGATGGATGGTGACTAGCAGTGGAATCCACAACGCGCGTGTCTTCCTGTTTGGGACTTTTCAGCTAAATGTACATGCATACGAGAATTGATGTTTACTCTGAGACTCAAACCCAGTACCGCTTGCTTCATATCCCATCACAGTCCCGGAGTGACCATCAACCCCGATATACAGGTACATCCAGGTGGCGAGTCCCAAATAGGACGATATGCACGTTCTGGATTCCACTGCTAGCCACCATCCAACTCTGTTAATAATGCATGTGAGTCAATAACTACGTCGAGTCAGTTCACACAGGATCCACATATGCCAGAAGAGACTGATCAATTTCAGTCCTAAATATCAATGGGGAGATCCAAACAGCCAATACAAATAAATTACTAAGATCTTTGTTAGACATAACCGATGAATTTAAACTTTTCAAATTGCTTCAGAAACTTTTCAAATTGTGATAAAGTTGTGTGATTAGAAATAACCAAATACCAACTTAATGATGTGAATGTTTACCCTTCTTCGCGATGTCCGAAGGTCCTAGGTTCGATAATGAGATTGTGAATGCGCACTGCTTAGAAGTCTCATACTGGGATGGAACGGTGGTTAAGAGTTTCTTTGTTTTTAATTTTTATTGAACTGAGATCAGTCCGTGATGTGATACTAGTCGACAATCTCCACAACCTCTTATACTAACAAATGTAGACATTCAACATAAGGTAGGCTTAATCTATCGTTTTGTCATGATGGGAGAGCATGTCAACCAGGCTCTTATACATTGGAAAATGAGCGATATACAAAGCCGTTTTTATCCAATTGTTTATAACATCTGATCTTATTATTTCTATACACAAGAGTTGTCTTTTATTATAAGATCAACTTATCCTTCTGGTTATTGGTTTTGTCTTTGATTTCAAATCATTTGAGGTCATTGAGTCAATAATCTGGTCCCGTAAGCGGTTAGTCTTCACTAGACGGCCACTTCGTATCATCACCCTTCATATGTCGACTAACATTCGATTCATCAACCTAGCAATCCGAAAACCTATTAGCTTGTCAAATTCTACTCAATAACAGATTTACACTAATTGTTACGAGATTATAATACACTATATTTTCTTAAAATAACTACTGTTCCCCTGCGATCGCGTGATTTCATTTTCATAAATTGTGTAGATTATAGGCAAAACTTCATAAAAAATCAACATCAACGCGAACAGAATATTATGTTTTAATTTAACTCGTGAAAAATTCTTGTCAACTGTAGTAATCGTTGGGTATCAGATTAGTTATAATAAAAATTTATGGTTTGATAAAGTATTTTAAAGTTATAAAAGACGTTCGTGATTGGAATTTGATGTCAAAGCAGAAAATTGTGTGGGATTTATTTCATTTACCTATCAACTAACTAAATAAATATGCATAGAATTAACTTCATTTTACGTTGGCTAAAATGAATCACGCCTACATAAATTACCTTGAATTATTTTCTATTGCAATCGATTGTAAAAGAAATTTGACCGTGACCAGTACAGTTTCACTTCAGTGTTAAGGGCTTTAAGGAATATCAAATGGTTTTATCTTAATCAAAATGATCTTGCTTTGTTTCTTGACCAAATGATTATTCGAATGTGACTTCTTCAAACAGGGATCCATATAGAAGGAACCATAAGAATACTGGGAATTATAGGCCATTTGTTTTGTTGTGATATTGAACTACTCAGCAGCGCACATGTACGACCCCAGATGAGATGGAACATAGGTCTTGTAGCAAAAAAATACAATAAACCCAATGAGTCACAGTCCTATGGACCTTATTTTGGACTCCACCCGGTTCACAATATAGCACAGAAGTTGTAAACTAAAACGAAATAGCCGTTTTATGTGTTCTTTGGTTTTTAGTAGTTTTCTAATGATAAATCGTGATGTAAACCCTTAACAAATTATTCACAAATCCATATCACAACGTAAAACCTGGCACATGTGTGCGCTAGTCCAAGTTATCAACTCTCCGTTGGCGCAGCGACATGAAATTTTCAGGGTAAATCCCAAACTAGTAGAGGTAGTCACAGTATTAGTAGTAACAAACAAGATTGGTCATCAAAAATAGGGTTCGAGAGGAAAATATGTATCAGTGGAATAAAAAAAGTTTTATCAAGTAATTTACAAATTCAGGATCTAAGGGAAGACAAAGACTGAATGTGCCTGGATCATTGTGTAAGATTTTGAGCTGTATCATCCAGTCTATAACTACTGGTTACGATAATCACACGGACCTCAGGCTTCTGATGTTCATCAATCACCATATGTTGTGAAATTTTGTGACTAATGAAGATTGTTTGGGTTGACCTTGCAATTAAAATGGTACTTATTAACCGTCATATTAAATGATTGCGAAGCTATTTTTGTTAACGTTAGACGTTTTGAGAAAACTCTGATGATGTAAGCAGAGAAATAAAGCTATGACAAACAACGAAAGCTATATTTGGGGACGCAACTTCACTTAACTCGAAGTTTGTAAAATACTAACACTTAGGTTATTGCATAAACCAAACATATTCTAATTTAAACGTAACCTGTACACTATTTTATACCTTAATGCCCAGTTTGAACATAATTGTATTTTTTTTTAGTTGTTTGTGCGTTGTGGTCGCGTTAGTCATGTATTTATTCACATATCTTTTTACACTAATCTGAATCAGTTATCACGAATAAATCTGGTATTTTCCCAGTTAGCTCGTCTTCTCTCCTGTTCTCTCGCTTGTCAACTGATCAGGTGGTAAAATAGTTTTCGTCTCTCTGCCCAAGGCCGTTAGTCTCAATTTGAATTCACACATTTCTAGCCTCCAAGTTGAACCAGTTAACCTATCGTGTCAAGGCCTTAATCTAGATAGATTAAGGACATAATACTTGAATTAAAATATCTCATTGTACTTCAATGGGTTAAATAAGCACTTTTGTCATAACCAAAAAGTCCTGTAAAATACTATGTAGGATTCAAATTAGTGGACTCATAGATCTTATTTATTTTCCTGTTTATGTGCACCTCAGTCCATTACAAACTAGTCTATGCATAAGCATGAGATAAATACTAATATTTTAAAGTTCAAAGCTGTCTTATAATTCAGGGAAGAACTCCCATAATTTTTCTTGTGGAAAAATGTTTATCATCTAAATTGTCCATGACTAGATGCAATTGTTTCCTGAACTAAAACTTCCCGATAACAAAATATTTTACTGTCAGTTTGAATATTATCAGTGAAGTGTTAAATAAATTAAATAACAAGTTTATTTAGAACAACTATTATTTATGACCAGTAATCATACTTTTATTAAAATTCAGTCCAATAACTATATACATGTTGTGTATTCGAGTTTGAGTATGTTTTTATTTCTATAAATGCTTCCAAACCAATGTCATTGAACTGTGGTCCGAACGAACATAAAACAATCAAACCTTGACTTAATCTGGTCCTCCTAATTTGCATTATGTGGTCATGATTGATCTTCTTTACATAAATTATTGGAATTATTGCGATTGTCCATATTGCCTACATACATCAATACTCTTTCTTTCAGTTATCCTCAACAAAGGTCATCATTATTAATTCAGATGTCAGCTTTATTGATTCATGTCATGTTTACAGTTAACAACTGGTATACCAATTCCAGTCAACATAGTTCAAAACAACTTAGAAATAATTAGTGGAAATAAAATACTCACGGTCAAGAAATAGCAGAAATTTGTGTTGTCATGGTCAATTTTCACTGTGTTAACATGTAACTTGTATTTCTATCTTGATTGTTGATTATTTATCCGTTATTTCAATCGGGGGTTAGTAAATAACCTCATTGATGACTACTATTCAGTACATAACTTTCTTATAATAGTCTATGCTTGCACTATAATTCTACTGTTCAGGTACTACAATGGGCCTCTTAAGTTTTCCATTAACCTTAATGAATTCAGCTAAACGTGGTCAGCGTATACAATCACGTTATGAACAATCATATCAAAAGACTATACAAAATAGAGAATGCAGTTCATCACATGGTTTCCGATATTTGAAACGTAAGTTTGTTTATAGACAAATAGACTATATATTCTAATATAATTGCAATATTATATGTATCAAGGATGTTTAATTCCTAAAAAATATCACTTACTCGTTTTCTGTTCGTCTTTTTTACACAAAAACTAACCACGAGAGCAATCGTTGATGTTTACCGCGGATAATAATATTTTCCCTATTATTCGGTTTTTAATAATATAATTTTTCACCTTAACCATAATTTAAAATACAAGTTACGCTGTTTTTGTAAAAAATATTCTGTTCTCAAATCTAATTAGTTAGTATCATTTTAGGGGAATGCTTTAAAATTTAGTCAAAAGCTGACTGATATTTGTAATGATAAAATTAGTGTTTAGTGAATGAATTTACGGCAAACCTTTAAATGTAAAACGGTGATTGAGTAGTTAGAGTATTCAGCTTTCAACCAATAGGCTGTACGTTCTAACTACACTCCATCTACTTCGGTCTGGGCGGTTGAGTATTATCATTGGTCTTCATATAAACTATATATTGTTCAAATCACAGAACATAAATCTTCAGTTAGCCATTGGCTTATGCCTAAGCATTTGAGCTATATTCTCCACCTCGTTTCACTTCAAAGTCCATAAGACAAATAAACGTTCTGGACTCATTTATTGTTCCGTTTGAATGTTTGTTAAAAAGATAATTTATTCAGAAATCAATGCACAAAAATGCTGACCGTGTACTTTTTTTAATTTCTTTTCTAGCAAAAGAAATTGTTTCTGGTATTTGTGACAAACGGTCGGCAAACTATTATGCAGCAAAAAAGGCTCGTGAAACGCTGCCGGATTTGTCTACTATGCCAACATACACATGGAAACCTAACGAAAATTCAAATTCCAACAAATCTGGGATTTGTGTTGGTAGTGAGTTCGGATTAGAACAGTTGGCTTCTGAGTTATTTCCTGGAGATATTTTCATTGACAAAGCTTCTTGGGATGGAGATCAAAGTACTCGATTACTAACAAATATATTGAATCCAAGATATTTTAATGATCATGCATGGTGTTATGATACTCCAGGTGTTTTTTGTAAAGACCAGGTAATTCTTATTCTTGTAAACGTTTTGATTTGATATAATAAGTTTAAATATTAGTCACTAGATGATTAGATATACATATCAAAATGTGTAGATCTACTATAGGATTGACCCAATCTGAACTTAGAAAACAACTTTTGAAGTTTTGCGCAAAAGTAGATGATTCTTACGTTATATTCTATGAAAAGCCTTTGAATAATTGATAAGAAAAAACTTTTTTTACTGTCATACATGAGAAACGACAATGTAAGAAAAAAAAGCACAAGAAATACATACTTTTGACGATCCGACTCTCCAGGAAACTACTTTATAAGTGAGTTCACCGAACTACAACGAGCTGGCAGCTTGGTATTGCTAAAATCTATCACTATTTCCAACCAAATATTGGTATCTGATATCTCCATCTTACTTACTGTAGAGAATGTATTCATTCAAGGTTTTGTGGACGATGTGGAATTCCATCTAAATTTATTTGCAAAAAGAAGCATTCGCACTCAAATACGTGAGATTCCGCGATGGTATTTCTCTTAAATATATAATTAGAAAACTGATAATAGACCTTGAAAATCTAGCAAGTCTTCCAATATCGCTGTACTCTTGTAGGTTTAAATACTTCTCTGAGGGGAGTTTTGATTTATATAGACTCTCTATATTGATTGAAAAGTGCCTTCAAAATCACACGATCATTGTTAACATTACTACCGAACCAACCCTATGGTATATTGTCGCCGTTACTATAATCTCTTTTTACCCTATGCTGACCAGCACAGGAATTGGTTGGTGTTAGTGAAACATAGATTGGATTAAAGCATGCTTCGTGCGCGATTGTGTTGGTGTACGCTGATTGGCTATTTCTTATTCAATCAGTGCTAGTCTATAAATATACTAACGTTTCTCTTATTGTGCTTCTTATTTCCATCTACCCTTGTTATTTGGGATGTAATTTCTTTCCTGTTAAACCGTGTTCTGATTTTGGGACTTGTCGAGTGAATTGGTGTCCAAGAATACTAAGCAATAGGAATAGCTGGGTCGTAAAAAGAGAAAATTATAACAGTTAGGAAAGGACTATGTAAAGCAAAACCAAGACGTGAAATCAGTGCATGCAGTTTTTGACTGATAGTATTAACTAACTAGAGGGGTTAACAAGACAAACACATAGTTGGAGAATTTAAGTGATGCAGTTCAAAATCAGTCGCAGTGACACAGGAATATTCATTCTTTCAGTACCCTTTGAATTTCAAACCAAGTAATATTTCATACTTATGTATTATTTTGCTAAGTCGGACACTTGTTAAGTATGATGACGAAATGAAAGTTTTATATATCATATCAATGTAATTAATATTTAACTAATCACCTCTTTTCATACCACGTACTTGTTTATGTGACCTGAAAACAAATTTCTATCAGACAATTTAGTTGTGTCCTTGTGGATGTATCAAGCGTTGTTGTTTGTTTTTTTCGTCTCGTTCTTTCAAATAAGTAACCCAGTTTATTCTCTTTATCATTTACCTAACACATACAAGCACATTTTGACTTGTAATTGAGTTATAAAGGAAAAAAAATAGATAAGCAAATTTCCGAAATTTTAAGTTAATTATAAAATGTACCATTGATAATTAGTAAAATTATTAGTTCACAACAATTAAGGAAAATTATTTTGCACCAAAAATTTAATTACCTGAAACTCTTAGTTCACCATTAATATATCTTTGACTTGAGCTCTATAGTTTGCAAACATTTGCTCTTGTGTTAATTAAAAGACTCTTAATTTGATAGTAATCTCTAATACGCGCAGAAGTAATTTAAAGAAAAATATATATTAGAACTGCTCAGTTATGAGTTATTTTCTTTTGGAGTAATTTTTTCTCACAAAGTCTAAAGGGAAATAAATCTTGTTCCACTATTTACCCCATGCTTATCGTTTCACTGAATTCGATCAGTCACAGTTGGTATACTGATTCCCTGATATTATTAGCAGTGGGTTAATGATCAACATTAAGGTGCAGATACATTCAACCGATGAATCCCTAGAAGGTTAGAGTGTGCATTAGGGCTTCCACTGTGAATTGCCTGACATATTGTTTGATTTTATGGTGCTATTTTCACGCAAAATTAGGTATTGTGTGTTTAAAAGATCTTTTTTATAACTTTCTTGTGTTGAACTATACTAACAGCCATAATAGTACTTTATTTCACTAGTCGTCTTATTGTACTACTAAACGTCTGTATAACTTTACACACAAATAAAAAGAAATTTTTATGTAACAGGTCATGTTTGTCTTGGACAAAGATAATTCTAAATGAATATATTATAGTAATATTCTCTCCTTTTAATGTAAATCTCTAAGAGTTAATTGTAAGCCAATAAATACATAAAGTTCTTGGTAAACTTCATTTTGTTATGTCTATTATAATTAATATGTTTATAAGCTGATAAACTGATTTCTGCTTATACTGGTTTAATAAACTTATGCTTCATTTAAATAAAGTAAAAAGAACAAGATTTGTAGAATAATATGAATTCATTGTATTTCAAGGTTTCCTGGACAGCCACAGACAACCCGAATTTACATTAGTAATATCACTATAAAACGTTTGTTATTTGATTACTACTGCCATAACTGGGACATTTGAATAATAGGACAGGATCAATTGTAAACATAAGCTATTTTGATGTATTTGAATTTTGATATTTACAAGCGTATGGAAACAAATTCCTATTTGTCATAGACAATGGAGTTAAGATCTTTACACCCTTTTTTTCATCGGTTTAACGCAGTGTGACAGAAACGTGATAGGAAATTCTGGACTTACTACTTAGGAATCAGAATTAATAAATTGAATAGTCTAATTCAGGCCCCAAAATACCCTAGAACGTTCGGCCTCTGCCAGGAAAGCCCTACTCACTGCCTTCTCGTGGTGGGGGTGTTGTTTATGAAAAGGAGAGGACGAAAAGCGAATGTCCGGCGCTTTAACCGGATTCCAAACCAATGGTGCACATGGGCTCCAGTATCCTTCGGGAACAAATGGCGTATGAACCAATTGTTGGTCACCGGCTTCCATGGGACTGCATCTCCTTGCGATGCTCCACCGCCTTGTAGATCAGACCCTCAGTTCGAATGCTCGGGGAGTGACCCCCTAAGAAAATCACCTGCTTCGGTTTGGGCACCCGAGCAGTATCACCGCCCACATACAAGCCAAGTGACTTGTTTGGCGCATATGTATTCGGTGCCCCTTTGTACCAATATTTATGTATTCAAATAAATAAATAAAACAAGATTTGAATACAAGACCTAATTATTAGCCCGAAATCAAGTGCTTTATTTAATCAATTAACTATCACTCTAAAGGCACCTAACTTGAGAACAAATCAATATGGCGTTTATTCAACTGATTTTGATTTTGGAACTCGACTTTCAAAGTAGCCAATTATTCGAAATTTCATTTTACGCATCGTTGGACCTTTGGTGATGTTTATTCTTTTCTAAATAACTTGCCCGAAATATACGCCTAATCACATAACTTGATACTATTTTGATTTACGCATGTTGTTGATATTTTCTTGTTATGTATGTTACATTTTCCCTAGATTCTTAACTATCTCTCATCAAACTTATTACATTCTATGACTAATTACAAATCAGAGGGAACTGGTATTTTCCACTTACCGAATGGTGTAAATAATAAAGTTTTAATTCCTCGTACATTTGTCATGCGGCCAGGTTTGACACTTTTAATGGGATCACTTGGTCGTTTAGATGTTTTGAAAGTAAGTTCTTGTATTCTGTTATCATTTCTAAGTATGATATTTGACATTCAATATCATTTAATTAATACACAATTCACTAAACATTATTAATGTTAAGAGAAGTACTTTTAACTCACTTTCTAAGTTTGAATGATTCCATTTGTTCTACTAGACCTCATATAGAAAAAAGTCCAAATCTCTAAAGTGATCACTATAAGCAACATTAATTATCTTGGTAAATACTTCTAATATTGAATATGCAACTCATATAGTTCGTTTCAACTTCTTCGTCATGATATCAATGATTAAAATATGCTTAAGCAGTAAGAAATAATGACAATTTTCCCGTTTTCCTTTTTTTTTTCACTAACAAACGATGAAATGTGATTGTCACAATTTGTATCACATTTTAATTTCTTTTTGCTTATTTTGTTTATTTTTTTTAAGGCTCCAAGTTCTGTTTATTTTACCACTTTTTCTCATCTTCCAATTCATATTGTATCTACTAAAGAAGTTGATGAGTATAAAAGTCGATTTTTCAAATTTCTTATGCCAAAAATTAAAAATAATTCTGTAAATACTGATAATTATAATAATACAGTTGGACCTTGTGGTTTACTACCACCAATGCAATCAAAAAATCTTGATCCTATTGAAACTGTACCTAATTTAGATCAGTCCAACATAGATGTTGTTTTATCCGGAGCAGGTGAGTTATTTCTTATTCTCATGAATTTAAATTACATTACACGTTACTTATATAGGCATTTAATCTATTTATTTTTAATTAACAGAATGAGGATTTGTGGAGACTGTAGTAATTTTAATAGTTGAATTCATGAGTCGATCTGCGCTACTCCACCATTTAAAACTTGGAAGCACTGGATAGCCGTTTCGTCCCGGTATAGAACTCCTCATTAGTGCATGCCCAAAATCCCACACCAAGCGAACTCGAACCCAGGACCTTCGGTCTTGCGTGCGAACGCTTAACCTCTGGACCGCTGATCTGGCATCCAGTGGTGTTAATGTCTCTTTAATCGATTTCGACCATGTATATTTTACTTACAACTATTGTGTGATGGGGGTTTGAAGACGAGAAATGAAAGTTACTGGAATAACGTATTTTGTTTGTTGGGAGTGATCGTAAATGCATGTCTAAAATATCCAGGGACCAGATGCTTACCCTTTTTTCTTGAATCCTTGTCACACAGTTAGATACACTCATCTGAAACAATTTGGAACAGAAGTGATTTCCTGTAGAACTCAAATATTTTAATCAACTGATCATTAAAGTAATCAATACCATCCTATTCAACTACTCACTGTGTCCACTGGACACGGATTTGACTCCACTGGTCATGAGTTCTCATAGATCGATTGAAGCTAGACATTGACACCGTTGGATGCCGGCTCAGTGGTCCAGAGGTTAGGCGGTTGCACACAAGCCCGAGGGTCCTGGATTCGAGTCCCTTTGGCGCGGGGTCGTGAATGTGCAACAATGAGGAGTCCCATACCAGAACTAAAGGGCCGTTCAGTACTTCCAGGTTTTCAATGATCGTCTAGATTAGACTGACTCGTTTTTAGTCCTTATACCTCTTCTGCGAAGTGTAATAGTTACCTATGCTAACTAACTGTTCAAGCAAAATATAGTCTACATGTAATCTTAAATTCAAAATCTCGATGTCTTGTGAAAGTCAATAAATGGTAATGGATATCTGTTGATTCAACTGTTTTTGGATAAAATTAATTATTGAAGTAAATCTTTATATAGTTCCACTGTTTTCCATTGATATTTCGGAAGCGCGAAATCATAAAGTGAATTAATAAAATCTAACTAATTTTTAAAATTACGTCAGCGATAATTTGGTGAGACAAATTATCCAGAGTTATTACTTGCCTATCATGTGGATAGGTGATATACAGATGATTGTACTTTGTCTAGACAGATATTATCCAACAAATCTACGCGCATTAATATAAAGTGAGTTTAGTTAAGAAAGATGACCTAAGAAAGCCTATTCATAATGTCCCATTACATACACGTGTTTTGAATCCAGTTTGTTCCGTTCTGCTTTATCGTTGTGAAAGATACCCTTTAAAAATAGAGAATATTTGCAAATGACCAGTAAATGATTATCGATGTTTTCAAAGGATCGTTCACGTATGCCAGGACCATCAAGTAAATAATGCTAAAACTATATTTATTGTCCTGAATTAAGATGATTAATAGGTTGATGAGGTGGTGAATCTCCATCTACTGTAGTGGTTGGGACATATATTACATATGCCGAATCATCATCTACCTCAACTTACGATGTTTGTTGATAGAAGAGTGGGTTGAAGGAAAGCTAGGTGCTATCAAACTAAAACATGTAATTAGTTCATGAAGTTATTAGCCGTTGGTCTGAGCCATATTCATGGATGCGGACTCTTTTCAGTTCAGATCCATACGGCTATCGTAACTAATAGTTGATGGCCTTGAGTAACATCACTTAAAATCGTTTACAATTCCCTCAGAGGCATTTGCTCCTTGCTTTCCCGTGGCTTTTTAATTTTAAAATGATCTTATACTCTATTCCACCGGTTCATTCATTTATTTCTTCGTTAGGCACATTTAAACCAATGAAAACAATCTTCATAGGGAAGATAACATTGGTTACTGATGTTAAAATAAATAAAAATCACTTTTTTGTCTTAACTTGAATCACGTATTCATACAAATATTTGTGTTAAACAAATTGTGTATTTATATTTTCTGATCTACTATTTACTCATTAAAACAATATTATCAATTGACTTACATATGAACATCTGGTTATCAGTGATCGTTTAGATCATTGTATAATCCTCATTTCAACAGAAATATTGTCAACATGGAATGTTGTTACTGTGATCGATTCGTTAAGAAGTTCACTCATTTGTTACGTTTTATTTGTTTCTTACTTGCTCTTCATCAGTAACACATCCATGAAATCACAAACAAAGGAACAGTTTTTCTTTATTTTTGGGTTACAAATGAATTCAGATGAATAGAATAAAAACATAGGGATGAAATTGTAGAAAGGTTAAGGAGAGGAAAAAGGGGGGTATGAATGTAGTTAAAAATAAATAAATGGATAAAAATAAGTGGACAAGAATAGTATGTCATTCGAAATACAGTTCGATTAAAGATATAATCAAGATAGACTTTTTTCAGTTAGTAGAGTTCTCGCTTTCATGAAAAATCTAGGAGGAAACTACATCAGGACCTCCATTAGCTTCTGTTCTGAGCTATGTCTGATAGCCATTACGTTGCATCAACTCTTCGATCTCTGTAAGTGAGCCATAATTGACCAATTTATCCTAGTCGTAAACAGCTTTCTTTCATAATACCTCAACTTTCTCCATCTCGCCCCAGTGTCTGTTAAGAACGCAATAAGTAAAAAACTCCGGTATAACATTCTCAGAATATGACCAAGTCATTCAAGTTAGTGTTTCATGACGGTAATGCCGGTTGAATTATCATCATTGCACCTGAACACATTGTCAAATCCCAACACTAATAACATAGTATCGCCATTAAATGTCAGCAATCGTTTAGTAGTAATAATCGAACATGGAGAGTTTCTGAACGTCCTCAACTGGAAGAAACCAGGTTTCACAAATATAAAGTAAAACTCTTACCGACGAGTTGTAGGCATGACACTTAATATATTATTATTGCTTTGTTTATGATTGTTTTTCGTAAGGTTTCCAAAAATACATCTGTACCTGGTTTCATTTGTTTAGTAACAATATCATAACTGAAATATGATGTGGTATTTTGTGTTATGAGTGCTTGATGTAAGTGTTCTAATTTCATTTTATAGTTATCAATGCCGAAGTCGGACTTGATAGTTTCCTTTGTACTATTTGAACTTGTGTTAATTTTATTTCGGTTATTTATTTACTCTGAAGCAATGGCTCACATTAAGTAACGAAACGTCAGAAGTACAATTTTTCTACTCATTGAAATATCACAAATGGTATATTTATTATTGATTTAATTTCAGTTTCAAAATGACTTGCTATGTTTGTTTTTTTTAATAATCCTAGGATGGATCAGTGTAGCTGGTTTATCAAAGACCAATCAGAAATTACTAGATGAGAAAGATTCAGAAGAAATATCTACTGAAAACAGTGTTGTTGATGATGATAACGATAATAATAATAATGATGAATTGTTTTGTGCTGATATCTTATTAACAGCATGGACTCCTGGAGCTTTAGGTATTTCATTAAGAAAGCCTTTAATTCCATATGCAATTAAACGTCGCGGTCATCGTTTAAAATGGTTAAGAGAATTCTCAGGTATTCGATGATCCTTATAGTTGTGATTAGTTTTTCTACTGACTCTGTAAAATAAATAAATAAACTTCTATCACTCAGAATTTAGTTTTTTTATTGTTTTAAGATTAGTAAGTATTTGGTTGGAGACATTTTTTTCTTTAGTTGTAAGCGTTTCAGTAACATGCTCAAAAGTTGTTCCCAGATTATCGACTCATTAATAGCCATTTGTGTTATGGTATTCTAATTTGGAATTTGTTGATTATTTAAATGTCTCTTTATTTCCTAAATTCATTTCATTCTATCGAGTTTATGAAAGAAATGAGTGTATTTTATGTGTTTGGCGAAACAACTGGCAGATCTGTCTAAAATGCGATCTGGGTCAATACATGAGGACGGGAAAAAATCATAGACACACACGAATGTAATATATTCAAATATATGAATAGAGTACGTAATCATGTACTTAACACTTATCCTTTAATTCAAATACCACAGTCTTCGAAACCGAATACCGTGTGATGTCTAACTAAAAATGATAAATAACATAGCATCTAATTAGAAGTATTACAATTGTAACACTACTAATAATAATGTATTTTCTAAAAAACAATTATGGAATACATCTGAATTTTCATCCACAATTACCGTAATGCCATAAAAAATTTACTGATATTTCATCATACATCTTGTACACAATTAAATAAATAAGAGATTGTAAATACGAGAAGCATTATTGCTTATAGCGGGGTATTTGTAGAATATAAGAAGATAACCAGGAAAGTCGTACGTGACGTTCAGCAATGTTCAGCAGTTTCTATAAACTTTTCCTATTTTGAAAACCGTTGAATCATTTAAAAAATTGCTTTTATAGTAATGGTTGAATGTTTTTCTTCAAGAATCCTTCGGAAGTTTATGTAGAGGTGGAAATTTGATAGGAGCAACAAATGCATCAAACGATCGTTAAATTAATTCATCTCATTTAAGCCACTGGTAACCAGAATACTGGTGCGAATATAGTATTCTGTAACTTAGCTTGCGTTCCAGTGAACAACTAAACATGATTATTACAATGATAAGCAAAGTACTGTAAAGTATATTCTTTAACCCTAGAAACCTCTATTTTGTGTTCCATAGTCCTTTAATATCATGCCTATTCATGAAATAAATCATGCTCAAACAGGAACTCCAAGTGCACATCTCGTTTGGGGTATTGGGTTCAAATAACTATGAACTTTATGAATATACCCGGAAATAGTACCTATGAAGGTTATGCTTTAATTGTCAAGATATCGTTTATATCGGCATGTGATAGTGAGTAGAAGAGAAGATAGACGCACAAATCTGGGAGTGACAAATTTACAACGCAACACTAGTTTCTAAGTTCTTTTACTGTTGCTGTTATGTAGTGCAAAATACTTCCACAGTAAACTACCCGAGTTGATAGGAACCAGTAGTCGCGGATTTTTTTATGTTACGTTTAAATTTCTATCACAATCGTGCAAATACATTCTTCGTTTTAAATCCTCAGTAGCTCACTCCTATTCTCCTTTTCCTCAACTAATGTCGTTTGTCTTTTCTCGTATAAATGATTTTTTTTCAATGTTTTTGCAAGTTATAACACAATGAACTAATATCCGGTAAATTTACGTTCTTTAGTACTATCTATCAGATTTTGTCAGCCTTTCTGATAACTCTTGCTAATTGAACGCTGTATTCGCTTCCTAAGCTATTCTCGTAACCCCCAAGCTAGAACTACACAGCGACCTGAACACGAGAGAAAAGGTGCAAAATATGCGAGAAGCACTCTACTCCAGAGGTTCGTTTTAGTACAGAAAATATAGGGTTTTTATAGTATTTTAGAAGTGTTTGGGTTTCCCGAAAATTCTGAAATGCTACTAAACATAGAAGCAGCATTACAATCAGCCAATCAGGAACCCCATATGTGACTTTTCACTTTCGTGATGTTTCTGGCTAAACTTCTAGTGAATGCTGATTGGATAAAATGCTTCTTAGTGTTTCCTGAGCCTTTTTTGTCTTTTGCGAGAAGTTTTCTGGATCACCCCAACACTTCCTACTTTCGATGTTTTCTGTACACAATTCCACACAATGGATTAACTGATGTTCAATAGTGTTACATTTGAAGCTTAGTTACTTAACAATGTAAAGTGGCTACCTCTAAGTGCTCTCAATGTGACTTACACTAGAAGTCCATGTTTTCCCAATGAAACAGGTAGACAAAAATCATATAGGACGACATGGAATTCGGTCGGTTGTAGGGTGTATGAAAACCGAATGCTTTAATCACTAATTCCTAATGAAATGAGATTACTCGTTGCACAACAGTGCTTTATTATTTTGTTATTATTATTATTACTGTCACCATTAATTCATTGTGTTTCACTACCATCTCTTTGACCATATTAATGACATGAAATAATACATTATTTTAACAATGAATGAGAAAGAAATGTTTTTCTGAAACTCAAAGTGAGACAGATGAACGTATTAATAACAAAATTATAAAACAATTCGTGGCATATTATCACTAATTATTATTCAACATACATCTATATGTGAATATTATAGTATTTTTGGGAAATTATATCAATGAATAATATTTGATTCTAAGATTGTTTTCATCAAGATCGGTTGGAAAATAATAAAAGAAGTGATAAGCTGTTTCAGACTTCTCAACAGTGTGGATTCATGGCATACATTCAACTGGAATTTAGCCACTTTATTGAAATCAATAGATTACTGAAATTCTGCAGATGTTATATGTAAAGATCGACATTCGACCCACTGATGAACATTTGTCTTCGTACCCAACTTGGATCTAATGATCATAGGTTGTTGTGACATGCACTCCTAAAGAAATCACTATTAGGCATGGAATTTTAATGTTGCAGAAGTTTAATTGATACACTATTTACATTCATCAAGGAAAAATATTAGTTGTGAAAGCGCTGAAAACTAGAAAGCTTTAAAAAGCGTTGATTTACAAACGATCTGCTATTTTTAATCGAATTCCTAAGACAGACCAACTCATATATAAATTAAGAATAAAGCTAAGCGTTACTTTCAACTGATTATGCACTCTTCAGCTATACTCTCAACAATTTCAATAAACTGATAGTTTGGCATGGATGTATTCAGTATCCTTAATAATCTGTATAAGTAGATTTACAGTTAATATGTATAAACAAAAGTCAGAGGATTTTATTTCATTGCTCATTTTTAGAATATATACATCAAAGAATTAATTAAAGTCGTAAATTATAGTTTCCATAAATCTATTTATATTCGTGCCACAATCTTCGGTGCTTTAACAACTCTTGAAGAACAATACAATCCTGAGTTACTACAGTGTGAAAACTGGTGATAGTTTGGTTGTTAAAGCCTTGTTTATGAATATAAGATAAAATAGGTGTTGGCTTCCAATCACTGCGATTAATTACTAATTGATTGAATATTTTAATCAAAGTTTCCCATATTTTTATACTGTTAATTGTACACGATTATTCCCTGGACACAGATGTATTCATATACTGTTTTAATTCACTTGAATGCACTTTAGTCACCATGACAATAAGTGCGCTTGTTTTTTTCTGTTAATTATATTATGTTACTATCCCTTTTTCTTGTAAACTTCTCACAACTACTTTCCGTTTCTTATAAATTGAATTATAACTGTGATGTATAGTCGATGTATTCTTCTTGAAGTATGCCTTTTTTCTGCTCCTTACAATACCCTTATTTCCTTCCTCTTGTATTTTTTTTTCCAATAAACGAATGTGTTAGTGTTTACCCTATCGTTTTACTTCATTTCGTGTATTGATTTACCTGAAGAGTAGGAAAGCAATACAATGATGTATATATATGCGTCTCGAGGGGTTTAGTTTTACCATTAAAAGTTTGGTGGACTGTGAAAGTTAGCGAAAACTAATGCAATATGAACAAATAATATCACTGGTCAGATTGGAATAAGCTTCAGCACCTTCGATTTGACAGAAAACAATTCTATTCACTGAAATCAATCGTAGAATTATGTTGGGGACGAAAACCATCTAGATGTTCGTATATAAGATTATTATTACAGTGTTATTATTTCTTTTTGTCTTAGTAGAGTGTAGTCAGATAAGTTGAAGTATGAATTAAGTAGTACAAATAATTTATCATGACCTTGATTACGAGTTCAAATCGAATGTATCATTGAATACCAGCAATCATAATCAACGTTAATAAACGAATTTTTTTTCAAGTTTGCTATGAATTAAGCAAACAAAAGTTGGATAAAAATTATAAAAGTAGAATAATTGAGACAGTATCTGTTTATTTTACTGTATCAATGTTTAATTATCGTAGAAATGCAAAAAAAACACGAATGAAGATGACTGTATATTATCCATAAGTAATATTTAAGTTTATTTATGTATTTTTACATCGATATTTTTCAATGTATTTTAACCATTTCTCGCACTTATTAGTTAACACATAAAGGAAGTGATAAGTATCTCAAATAACATTTTAATATAGGTAACCTGAGAAGATTGTTTAATCTGTGATTAGTTTTTATCATGGATTGATATACAATAGAGAATCATTAAAAATCAAGAAGTAGAAAGCCTTCCTCACAAATGCCGACTAACATGAAACGTAGGTTTAGGCTTTCTTGTCGATTGCCTATAAACACCTAGCGTTGTTTATATTGTTCTATAATCATTTTTAAGGATTAATTTTGAATGAAATGTAAAGATTTGGATGCCGACTCAGTAGTCTAGTTAGTTAGATGACTGGCGCGAGACTGATAGGTCCCGGGTTCGAATCCCACGAGGCGGTGTCGTGGATGCGCACTGCTGAGGAGTCCCACAACAGGACGAAACGGCCGTCCAGTGCTTCCAGGTTTCCCATAGTGGTCTAGCTTCAATTGACTCATGATCTCAGCTGTTGAAATTTTACTTATCTTTATAACCAAAAGAAAATTTCCTAATTTGTTGATTCCTAAACATGTATACAATTCAATGTTATTTAATAATTCAAAATAGTATATGACTGATCAAAAGATTGATAATAACTTTAGCGATCTTCAAGCGTTTGTTTATTTTTTGGATCATTATTTTTGGTCTGTAATTTCCTGGATATCAAAGTAAACAAATATTACAAATCTCCAAGATATATATATATATATATGTATGTAGTGTATGCCACT